GCAACCCGCAGGTCCAAACGGCGGCAGACCAGGTCCCGGTTGTAATAGCTCCCAGATCCGACAGCTGTAGCTCAGCTCCCTCGGCCTCAGCTGCTCGCAGGTCCAATCGGCGGCAGACCGGTTCTCCGCTGCAACAACCCCCAGGTCTGACAGCTGCAGCTCGGTTCCAGCGGCCCGCAGGTCCAAACGGCGGCAGACCAGGTCCCGGTTGTAACAGCTCCCAGATCCGACCATAATCAATCCATGGTGAAAAAAAATTATAAAGACATTGTTACTTAGAAACCAAAAGCAATGAATTTGGCATGGATGGGCAGGTCCAGATGCATTAACAAGGTTCAATGACTCCAAATAATCAAAGTTCTGAAAATGATGAAGATAGAGCCGATGAGTTTCAGGCCAGACAACTTCATGATACAAGTGGACCAACAAGCCCGGCATGGTGGTCCAGCTGCAGTTTGAGTTGGACTGAGGGGGGCTCCAGCATGCCGCAGGAGACAAATCGCTCCAGCTGCTCTCATGCTGAACAGAAGCTGGGTGCAGAACCAATGGGCAGAAACATTGGTTACGTACTGTAACCCCAGATTCTATGAGTATAGGCATAGCCCTTTAAGGCTGTCGCTGATGGGTTTTATCCCAATATGCGAAGCATCACACTGAAAAATTTAGTTCACGCCCACCTGCTGTGTGGGCCCCAGCCGGTCCGTATAAATTATGTTAAGAGCAGGTAATCGGCTCCCAAATAGCTTTTTCTTCAGCCATTTAGGAGCCAGTGGGAGCAAGTGGGTGTGAAACAGGTCATTGATTAAGCATTTTCTAAAAGGCGTACAAAGACGCGTACGCCTTTTAGAAAATGCTTAATAGCGGATGATTAAAAGCTGTTCTGTCTCCAAACCCTTCGTGGCAGGAAGAGATGGATGCAGCGTACGTTAATCGTACTGGACGCCAAATTTCTGTCTATCAGTTGTTGCAGAAAGGACAGCACGTCGCCCAGTGGACATGAGGTAGCTTCTACACCTTTCTCTGTACACCAGCGCTGAAAACTGTTCACTGTGATGTGTACAGTGCTGTGGTAGATGCAGCAAGTGAATCCTGGATTGTGCGCACTACATCCTGTGGGAGACCCATCCTCTCTAAGCGGATCCGCTCAGCGGCCAGACCCACAGGTGCTGGCCTATTTCTGGGTAACTCCTAATTGCTCCTCCCACCTGGAGGAGAGCATCCTCCCTCCACGGCAGTTTCCACGAGCGCCCCGATAGCAGGAGTCGCAGGACTGGGAACCATGGTGCGTTCACGCACTCGGGGGGCCACCAGGAGAACTGTTAATCCCTCCTCCTGAACTCGGTTCAAGAACCATAAAATCAAAGGAGGTGGAGGAAACGCGTAAAGAAGTGTTTTGGGCCATGGGCTGTGGGCAACGCGTCCACCCCCAGCGGTGGTTCATCTCGCGGGCTCAGAGAAAACCGTAGTTCACACTGAGCATTTTCTCGTGTCGCAAATAGGTCCATGGCTGCTTTGCCAAATTTCTGCCATGTCTGGGCCATCAGGTCTGGATGGAGAGTCCAGTCCCTGTGACGTGGGCCGCCCCTGGACATCACATCTGCCCCTTTGTTCAGAACACCGGGACTGTACACTGCTCTGATGGAGAGCAGATTTTGGTGTGCCCAACACAGTAGTTTTTGCACGATGTGTAACATCTGGGCTGAGCGCACACCCCCCTGCCAGTTTATATACGCAGCAGTAACCTTGTTGTCTGTGTGAATCAAAACGTGTTAATCCTGCAGCACAGGAGCAAAGTGTTGAATCACGTTCAGAACCGTGCAACACTCCAAAACATTTATGTGGGCTGATGTGTGATGGGGCCACACCACCCCTACAGCTCGAGATAGGCATGTCTCCCCTCAACCTGACAGCAACGTGTTTGTGAAGACTGACACGTATGACGTGGGTCTGCTGACGGGAACTCCCTCCGACAGAACCAGGGGTTTTTCCCAGTGTCGGAGGTCTACTCTCACGGAGGGAGGAACAATGATCATCCGTCTCTTTTGCTTTACTGGATCCACACACAGACACACAAACCACCTCTGGAGGCGTCTCATGTGGAATAAACCCAGCGGAACCACTGTGTGAGCTGATGACATCGTTCCTAACAGCTTCATGGCAGAAACAGCTGTTATGGAGGTGGTCTTTTAGAGTGTCGATTTTTGTTTGTGATAAACGAGCACTCGTGGTGGTTGAGTTTAGCTCCACTCCCAGATAAACAATCGTCTGGGCCGGGAGAATCGAGCTTTTCTTCCAATTTATGGCGAAGCCCAGATTTAACAGATGTGATGTCAGCACCTGAGCCCGCATCGCTGTTTCCTGTCAGGCGCGTGACAAGAGCCGCAGGTCGTCCAGGTAAAACAAAACTCTCATCCCTGCTCTGTGTAATGGTTGCAGGGCCATCTCCACACACTTTGAGAACGTACGAGGCGCGAGGGAATAACCGAACGGCAGCCTGTTGTACTGAAAGTAGGCATCTTCAGGTCAATGGAAACAAACCAGTCGTTTCTCTGGATGTTGTCCAACAGCTGTCTGGTTGTCAACATGTGAAACGGTCTGCCCATGAATGCCTTGTTGAAAACTGACAGATCCAAAATGGGTCTCGTCCCTCCGGTCCGTTTAGGAAACAGGAAGTAACGTGAGAAAAAACCCTGGGTTTTCCTCTCCGTTGGGAACTCTGGAGATTACATCTTTTACCAGAAGTTCTTGAACTTCTGCATTAAGGAATGAGATTTGGTCTGGTGACGACAGGACCATCGCTAAAATTCCTCTGAACGGAGGGGATTCGGGTTGCAAATTGCAACGTTTAACCCTAGCTTAACAACCTGGCCATCCATCTGTCTGGCGAGCATGTTTTTAGCCACTTCGCGTAACGTTCGTGGAGTGGACGCTCGTTTAAGTGATGCGTCATGTTTTGTACGGATGTCATCCAGTCCACCGCCTCGACCGTCGTCATATGTCACGGGAATATGTTCCGTGTGACCCAAGGCGAGGCTTCTTGAAAGGGCTCTGAACGCGCCTGTGTGCTGCGTTCGGACTGCGGATCCACCTTGTGTTGAGGAGAAGCGTGTGACAGCTGATGACGCCGCTGGGCCGCGCGTTTGACACAACTGCGGTGAAAAACGCGTGTCGCTCCTGCCGCGAGCGGGGTCCTGCGCTGGGCTCGCTTTTCGATCCCGCATTTATGCTGACATGAGCGGACGGGCGCTGAGAAGCAGCGAACGCAACTTCATCTACGCCGTGCCGTTTGAGTGAAGGCTGCTAGCCCCGCGGGAGCACGCGTTTTCTTTGGTGGGACGCGTGCCGCTCTCGCTGGGGCAAGATTCGTCACTGGGTTCGCTCAGCTGTCTCACGCTAATGCAGACGTGAGCGGCCGAGCGCTGAGGAGTGGTGAGTGAAGATTGCCCCCGCCGCGGCGGCACGCATTTGCTTCGGTGTGGCGTGTGTCGCTCTCGCTGAGAGCGAGGCCCTCCACCGACCCGACCTGCAATCCCACATTTATGCCGATGTGAGCCGGTCAACGCCGGGGAGCTGAGTGTGCACCATGATCAGCGCAACGCCGTTTGGGTGAAGGCTGTTTGCGTCGTGCGAGTGCGCGTTTGACACCGCTTGGGTGAAGATTGTGCAGCTCGGGTTGACTACGAGTTATTCCGCTTACCACTGTTGTGTTATGTGAGCGTCTCGTCATGTCTGGAGCAACGGTGAGTTTGAAAACCCTTTATTTAAGGACTAACCGACTGTACGGAATATAATCTCGCTGTGCTTCAATGCAATGATAATAAAGCTTATTCTGATTCTTTAACTGTGCTCTCGCGGTTATTAATTAGTCCTGATTGGGTCAGAATTCCCCAAAGAATGCAAACAAACACAGTTTTCATTTTCAGGCATATTTAATTGGCACAATAAACACAATACAAAGTATTCAGTGCACCAGAACACAAGCATGGGCCACCAAACAGAAAACAAACAGAAAAGTGCAAACACACCATTTGGTAGATCTCGTAAAGGAAAAGAAGTCCTACTTTGCAAAGCAGAGAAAGTCACAGTAAGACTCTCCATAGATAAAATAGATATTTTCCTTTGAAACTGTATTTATATTTTCATATATATTCTCTTTAATTCCAACATGTCTTTTCCTCTGTACAGGCAGGTGATTCTGGGGAGAAAAGAATTGTGATGGTTTCAAAGCTGTGTTAAGCAGATGGTTACCAGAAATCTGCTGCTGTGCTCTTGTCATTTTTTTTCTCAAAAAATAAAATTAATCCTTGTGCGAAGTGACGTGAGTGTGGAAGCACATGAAGGTTTCTGTTTGTTTGCTTGATTCACTGGAGTTTCATCTTTCCCACCATCAAGAGTCCAACATTCCTCCACAGCCATGAAACTCTGCATCAGACAGAAACTCAAAACACTGAATGTTATTGTTGGTTTTCAGGACTTTACAGAACTTTACAGACTAGAAACAAACAAAAAAAAAAATTCAAATGTTTACCAAATTAAAAAAAAAAAGTGTTGTTGAGTAGGAGAAAGTCTAATCCTAGAACCAAAACCTGGATAGGGTCCAAATCTGCATGTTGTAACAGTTCAGTTACATTGTGCATCACAATACATTTTCAGATACAGTAGATGGGGGTAGGGAGGGGGGAGAAATACATTTCCCTAAAAGATAATTAACGTTAAACTAACCACAGTTACATTAGACATTCTGAGCAAAACATTAAAAACAAACATTTTTTTTACATAAAAACAGTACAACAGATGCATGAGCCTTATTCAGGATTATACTGAGAATACTGTCAGAGGAGGAAGAGGAGGAGGAGATCACACAGCTGCTGTTAAAAACAGGAGCCCATGCCGTTTGAACAGAAAGAAAATGTGTTTTTTTTTAAATATACTTAAAAAAAAGAACCATAGGCACCGAACCCAAACAGTAGCATTCAGGTTAATTTCAACAATATGACCAGGCAATGGGTGTGTGTGTGTTGGTGGGAGGGGGGTGGGGTCTGAACAGAAAGGCTGGAGGTGAGGGACAGGGAAGGGGCGTAAACTAGCTTTACGCTGACACTGCCTCTCTGAGCTGCCAGCAGAGGGGCAGGGAGGAAGGACAGGGCAAGCATGCAGTACACCACAACGCCCCGAGCCGTTGCAAAACGAAACAAGAAAAACAACAAAAAAGGCCTCGATGCAGCTTTTAAACAAGAACCGATGAGCTGCCTGAGAGAGGGGTAGAGGGTGGTGGTCAGAGAGAGGAACAGACGCCAGAGACAAGACAAGAATTGACTGGATGAGAGTGATCCATCAACAAGCTGATGTGAGGGACTGATGGTGACAACAAGCCAACTTTATATGACAACACTGACACAAAGAAACACACATGGTTGTCCTTCTTCAGCCCAGATGGACCCTGTAAAGGTAGGGCTGATTTCAAAGAAGTGGGGTGGAGGTGATGTTCTCAGAGATGATTTTATTTTCTCGAGTTAATGAGTGAGTCATGGCTCTGTCACAAACACAGGTCTTCATACGGCTGGCTGGAGGTTCCTGCTGGTCCCCGTCCTGTTTCTGACCACACCCCCTCCTCTGTGTGTGTGTTTGAGTGTGTGTCTGTGTGTGAGATAAGCCAAAAGAAAGGGAGAAACAGAGCTGAACGGTAGAAGCTAAGAAAAGCCTGGTGACGGGCGGAGTTAGTCACAAGTTAAGAAGGAAAGCTTTGCTGAAAACAGCATGAAGCAAAGTGTGTGTTGGTGTCGTCTGAGTGCAAGTTAAGAATGGAAAACGTTATGAGCGCTACAATGCAGTTGGATTTCTTCAATCAACACTGTAAATCGTTCTAAGTAAGCACGACACTGATGATAAGTTTGTTTTTTCTAAACGTTCAGTGCTCTTATCGGCCGTCGTTTTAGATTCTGGTGATCTGTCTCTTTTACACATGGTTGCTTCGTGAGGCTGCTTGCCCTGTCATTCCTTAGTCAGCCTCTCACTTTTAGGAATCTGCAATTCAGAAGGGAAATACACACAAAGAAACAAACAATGACAAAAAGGACCATTAGTTTGAAGGAAAATAAAGACAAAAATACAGAGAGAAGGCTGTTGTAGAAATAGAATGTCAGCTTTGTTGTCGTTTGCACGTGATGTTTAAAAAAAATGAAAATCTTTCCAGCTTTTTTATCTGACTTGAATTTATTTCAGCCACTGAACTTTGTCAATACATGCTCCTCCACAGTCATGACCAAACACCTGGAAGCATCCTGCAGCATGTGCCACATTAAAACTACTGGACACACAGCTCTGATGTAGGACAACAACGTTGTGCTTCGCCTGTGGCCTCTGGAGCTGATGAAGCACTGACAGGAGGCTGATTCACCAGAGGGATCAGAACTAAGTCAGAGCTGATCAGTGGGTACTGAATGTTTAATGGCAGTGAAGTGAGGCGAACACAGGTGCTGCACAGAGATCAGTGCAAACAAGGCTGTGGGAACAAAGGGTGTGGAGGGTGCTGCAGTGCCCCATGGTCAATGGTAAATTACTTGCAAGTATAGTTAAAAAAAATAATGACATCATTTTAAAATGTCCTGTTCTGTTTGTGCTGCTCCCTTCTGCAGGGATCACAACAGTGAGCGAACTCACATGAAAGATTTGGCAGTTTTACACCGGATGCCCTTTCTGACACAACCTGGGCTCAAATCTGTAGCCTCATGATTACAAGACCGTGACACTGACTACCGTGCTGCCACACTTATACATGTCTGTTTACTAATCAATAATAACAATTACAATGAAGGTAACTTTAATGTCCAAATGTTGGTTTTATTGCAGAATGTCTTTGCTGGGATGATGTTTTCACACAGCATCCTTTCACTAATCATGGTCCTCTAAAACCTCTGATGGCTGCAGTGTAGCTGCTAAATCTATATGTTTTTTTAGTTTAGAGGATATGAACACTGAACTGAATGTGTCATAAGAATGTGGAAAACAGTCAGAACTGCTATATGTCAAAATTTGCAATTTCACAAGTATTGCTTATTAAAAATACAGATCATATTTTTCATACACTGTCAAAGTGTATGTCACTGTGGTATTATGATACTTTTCATTTGGGTGTTTAGGGTCATACAATTCTCAGACAATTTCACACAAGCTCACAGCGCCACCCAACCCCACCCACTGAAATCTGTTCCCACAGCTATGCATGCAAGACAGCAGCAAGCTTCAAGACCTCACCACGGAGCTCAGAACAGCTAACCCTCCTTTATTCCTTTACCACTGGCCTGGAAGATAAGATCCAGAACAGACCGACACCATCATTATGAAAAGTACATTCAGAGTAAAAAAGGAAATATTACTGGAAACTTGAATAATATAGTAAAACCAACTGGGGACAATATTTCAGGTCACATCATGCAAGTGGGAGGTCTAATTTTATTTCAGCCTACAAAAATAACGCTTATCAAGTGATTCTCCTTTTCCAAGAAATATGAATGTTGAGCTGAGCATGCTTTCCTTAAAGGTGCCAACAAACAAACAAACAAAAAACAGTAAGTGTGCATGATTTTTTCTTCAGCATCTTTCAGCTTTGATTTCGTATCCTTCATTAAACACCATGTTTATCTAAAAAAAAGTTAGCTTTTCTAACTAAACTGTATATAAAAGGAAATTAGGATGCTGAGTAGTATGTATATATATGTACACGTGGTGGCACTGTGAGAGTGAGAGACTCCTCTTCAGTCTCTTCTCATATTTAACGTTTGATTTGCTCAACCAACCCTTGTGAAACGTTACTAAATACTCAGAGCTGCAGAGACATGCTTAGATTATTGGCCACAAACGACCTGAGGTCCTTTCCTCTGCAGAAACAGGAAGTGTCTCCATCTGAGCCATCAGTTACAATCTAATGGCTTTCCTGTTCATTTAGCAAATGAATGGAAACATACTGACTAACAGTAACCATTAAAACGTTGTCACAGCATAATCCAGCTGAGTTAAATGTAAGTCATAGCACCTTTGGCATTTGTTTCCAAAAAGACCTCCACATAGGATGTGGGGACATATCCCTCCTCATCCTCATTCCTTCGAACTCTCGTCCAGCCGTCTCCTTTGTCTTCTTCTATGACGTACAGCAGCTCGCCTTCGGCCACAGCGATGGTGCCCTCATTATGACCTGCAGGACGAGGAACACACCAGAAATAAGAGGAGCAAATGGATACAAGCAAAGAGGAAACATCTAAGGAACAACTGGTCTTCTGAGTAAAATAAGCTGAGCTGCAGTTTTATAAGGAGCCTGAATGTTACTGGTATCAGAAACAGGTAACATCTACAGTACCTGCTAAACCAGTTCAAGTGAGGATCATAAATCTGTTTAAGCTAACAGTAACAACACACTCACAGCTGTTTGCTGTCAAACAGGAAAGTTAAGGTTCAAGCAGGAGACATTTATTTTAAAAAGCCACATACTGTATACTTCCTGTTAGGTAAAACTGTAATATTACAATTAAGATATTTTAAGACTCAAGGAAATTCCTTTAATAAGAAAATACAGAATCTAAGTAATTATTTTTTAAATGGAAAGAGTTCAGTTTTGAGGGACTTAAATGTCTTGACGGGGACTGTAAAGATATTTCAAACACCAGCAAAAATACCCTTAAACACGTCAAACTTAAAATGTTTGAAAAAAAAGAAGAAAGATTAACCGCTACAACTATGGAAGCTAAGAAAGAACATGTTTTAAAATACTTTTTTCAACGTTATATATATCAAGATAAAGAGCTTGAGCATGATGTGACTTCGATTAACTGATTTTCTTGTAATAACTAAAAATACTTCCCATTCCCATAGAGGCGTAAATCTTTATCAGGAATGAGTGCAGTTAAACTAAAGGCTGATTCATCCATCAAGGATCAACTAATGCGAGTCCTGACGTGATACTGAACAATGACAAACAAGAATAATGAAAATAAATCTTCTTTTCTTGAAGTAATGAGATAGTTAACTAGTGATCTCAACAAAATCATATTAAAGTTCATAACAGCAGGTTTGGTTATTTTTGACTTCCATCCTAAATTGACTCAAACATAATTAAATGGACTCTACTCTGTATACCATCACAAGGGCTGAAAGGTACATTAAAGGCACACACAGCATATGCAATGATTATTCTAAATGTCTCTAAAGGTTTTAATATGTTTGAAAGAAAAATATTCACTGGACAACTAGAATAGTTTCTGCTGAAGCTATTTTTGTAGCTTTTTAAAGGTTTGCCTTTCTACTGGTAATTTAGAGTACAAGGCTGCCTCCAGAGAAACAAGACTACCCTCTAAGGTCCAATAAGTCCCACCAAAGAGGGTAAACAGAACAATGCCTCTGAGGGTAACCCACCCACCCCCAGCTAAAACCTACCTACACTTTTTTTCTTTTATCAGACTTTATTAGCAGCAGCCAACAAGTAGAGGATATGTTTGGTTTTGCAGCTACCTTCAAATGGGTACAAGGCTTTGCAGGTGCCAATGGTGGGTAGCACATCCTCATCAAACTCATCATCAATATCAGGCGTAGTTGAAGTGGGGTTGATGGTGGCTTTAACCTGAGTTTCTGAGTTCTGCTCCTCTGTGTAGCTGCCATCCGGGCTGCTCAGGGGCCAACACACACACATTAAATATACTGTGAAAACACACGCAGTTTCATCCACAATAACATGGCTGGTAGCTGTCTGATGCTGGAATGATGTTTGTCAGAGTATACCATACCTCTCTCTGTTCTGTGCACAGTTGTTGCTCACTGCTGTATTGTTCTGGGTCTCGAAGAATCCACTTTTTCGGTTTGAGTCACTCTTAGATGGCATTCTCTCCTCCACCTCTGCCAACCAGCCCTGAAACACATGCGACACTTACAAGCACATGGAAAACTTCACATTTGTCATGGAACCCTTTGTGTTGTGGAGAAGTTCACATTTGATGAAAAAGACCTCTGATATAATTAAACCTGGACTCTTCCCTGCCTGTGTGCAGCAGGATCATGGAGCCAGCTGCTCCAGCTGCATTACCGTAGCTGCCGCCGTACACGTCGCACCGCCTTATAAGTTGCATCAGTCCAAAAATTTCTAATAAAGAGGAAAAAACATAAATATGTCGCTTTGCCATATAAGTCGCATCTATTATGCGTCACCGCTGACAACCTGGAACTGTGGGCCGGCATTGTGCCAAAACTCAACTGGCTGCCAAATGGTGGCCGCAGGAGCGTGCACGGGAGGACTTTAACAATAATTTAAGAAGATTAACACTTAAAACAATTATTTGTTTGATAAAATTATAGCAAAGGTGCGTCTCAGTTGAACTTTTCCTTAATAAATGTACTTTGATGGTAAAATAAGCTGCATTTCAGAAGCCGATTCCTGGAAGTAGGAGTGCACAGAGGGATGACTTTCTGTGCATTTCTTCCAAATTTAACCAGATAAACACAATTATTTGTTTGCTCGACATTATAGTGAGTTTCAGATGAACTTTTATTTAATAAATGCACTTTAATGGTCAAATCAGCTGCATTTCACCTGGGCAGTGAAATGCAGCAGATTTGACGTTTGCTCCAGGAGCTCCAGGAGCTCCAGGAGCTCCGGAGTGAGACGAAGGTGACTTTGTATGGCAAGACAAGTGTCTCAATAATAACCACTTTTACCTATTAATGAGACACTTGGCTTGCCATATTACTCGATGGCCCTCTTGTGGCTGAAAATGGTAGTGTTCAATATTTTCCAAGCCAGAATGAATGAAATTGTCAGATCTCTGCCAAAAATTGGGTTATAAATATGGGGGGAAACATAAATATGTTGCTTCGCTGTATAAGTCACAGACATGCAAAAACTGCAACTTATACAGCAAAATGATGGTACTTGTTGTCCTTTAAGGATGAGCAACAGGCATGTTTGGACCTGACCCAATTCAGCAGTATGTTTGTGCTCATCTTTATTTAATTTTTTACATAAACCAAATAAGAAGACTTAGCCAACACCAAAACTGAAGGAAAATGAGCTGCAAGTGGTACTAACCTCAAACTTTTGCACTTCAGATTGGAGCTTCTCGATGTTTTGGCCTATTTCTGACAGTCGTGGGTCCACACTGGTTGGGTCTCCCATCTGTGGGTTCTTTATATACACGTCTTTCATCTTAGTCAGAGCGTCCCTTAAGAGACAAGAGTAAATTTCTGAAAAGGAATCTTCTTCGTCTTTTGTGGGTGCGATTACAGATTTTCGAATGACTGTCTAATTCACAAAATATATCTTCAGTTTAATCTATGCTGTGTCCAAACAGCATCTCTTTGAGCTGAAGCTATTTGTCCACATTTAAATTAGGCTTTATGTTGCATTTAGAAGAAAACCTGTTTCTATAAATTACTGCAAGGGCAAAAGTTGTCTGCTTCTCAAAGTCCAGAGTTGTGTGTGACACGCAGTGGTGGGATGTAATGAAGTACAAGTACTTCGTTACTGTACTTAAGGGCATTTTTGATGTATCTGTACTTTCCTTAAGTAGAGTTAAATATATTTTACGCCACTACATTTTACATTAAATTTCTGTACTTTCTACTACACTACATTTCTATAATGCGTTGTGTTACACGTTACAGTCATGTTGCGGCTTTTTGATTTGTTCGTTAGTTTGAAAGTAACCAATGGTGAGAGGCGAGTTGGTCCATTGAATCACTGCAAAGTGGGCAGGTAACGTTAGGCCCACCTTGAAGAAGAGCTGGGCCAATGAAGTATATGCTAGTATATATGTCACTGAGCTGGGCACACCCACAGAAACGCTAACACACCCAAAATGGATTCTACCTTGGAGAGTCAGCCAGAAGATACACGCCACCCATGGCCTTATTGAAATGGTAAATGGACTGTACTTATATAGTGCCTTTCTATCTTATTTCAAGATACTCAAAGCGCTTTACAACAATCTGTGTTCTCATTTACCCATTCATACAGCACTCTACTAGATCTCTACAAAGCTAATTGAACAAATCATTCTAAAGAGACTAATCAGTGGTTTAGATCACATTCATACACTGATGGGACACACATCAGAGGCAATGAGGGGTTCAGTGTTTTTCCCAGGGACACTTCGGCATGTGACTGCTGGTGGATTCGAACCCCCAACTCTCGCATTGGAGGACGACTGCTCTAACCACTCAGCCACAGCCACCCCTACAAAGAAAGACTATTGAAAGACTGTTGAAAGACTATTCAGTACAGCAGGACAGATTCTCTCTCCCTAAAAAGCCAGACTGGACTAAAACACTTTGAAAACCAACTTCTTTCTCCAACACTGGATGCAGATTACATTATATATTCCCAGTTTCATGAGAGCAAGTGTCTCAAGCGGAACAAAAACAGGAAAAGGAGCAATTTGTTGCACTGCTGCCTTCACAACAAAGGAGCAGGCATGTCAGGGATGGGTTAATTCATCCTCTGCTCCAAGGATGACTAACAAACATCATAGCATTAAAACATAAACTGACCAAAAAAAAAAAAAAAGAATAAAATCTTGTTGCTTCATTGATTCAGAAAAGAACATCTTATTATAAAAATGTTTCAACAAGCAGAGCTTCACATCCAGACGTTAAGTAACAAAACTCCAAGTTAACATCACATGGGATAATTATCACAGAAACATATTTTATTGACTGGATTGTGGCAGTTTTTAAAGTGTGCTTTATAAATAAAAATATAAATAATTGCCTTGTGAGTTTCATGCAAGCATGAACAGAAAGAAGCTGCAAATAATGTGCAAAAAAACAAAAACATGCAGAAACATGAATCTTCCAAAGAGTGTGCTTTTAGTCCTTTGTGTTTTTATAAAGATACCTCTGGTCCATCTCCTTTTGAATGTCTTTGTTGAATTCATCAATCTTGCCCTGCAGCTTCTTCCTCCTCTGCTCTGGAGGCAGGTGACTGAAGTCCTCTGGTCCTGAACCCTAGCACCCCAAATTGAACAGAAGAGAGAAAAAAACAAGAAAGATACATAATATCTGTAAGAAAACAAGATATTCTATTATTCTTGTCCTGCTATTTCCATGGGGCTCATGTCTAGTTAGAAGCATTATCTCCAAATGAACCAACATAATAATATTCCAACAATTTGAAGCATACAGTTCAAATAAAGAAAGCTTTTCAAGTTTTATGTTTATGTTAAAGAGATACTGCAGCTCTTTAACACTCAGATCTAAGATCTTTCACCTATGTGCACTGTGTGACAGCATCAAAAATGTAATAAAGCATGTATGTTCTCTGTAATCACTCAGTGTGTCCGAGTGAGCGGCATAATGGGTTTAAACTCCATGATTCCACTCTCTGCTATGAGTGGAAGTTATCTGAGACTGTTTCCAGTCCAACCTGGACGAGTCTGAGCTCAGCAGAGTCTGCAAATATATTCTCAGACTGGCTTTATAATCTGTGTGAACACTAAAATTAAATAGAATTTTAAAATTTAATTCCAAAGATCTTTTTATATATTTTATCTTTTTAAAAACTGTATTGTCTAAAACTTATTCATGTTATTTTAAACGTTACAGAGTGTTGCAGAAATATTCACCCCCTTGGTTTTATTTCTGTTCCATTGCCTCACAAGTTGGGATTGGATTAAATTTTCAATTGGATTATAAGTACTGGAGCTGCACTATGCTCCAGGTTAATGAAGGTAAGTGGGGAAAACGTTTTAAATAGTGGAGCGTGCAAAAGTATTCACCCCTTTGCTTTGAAGTCCCAGCATTACCATAAGAAGTCACAGTTAGTACAAGATCTACCTGTGGGCAATGAAAAGTGTCAAATAACTCCTGTTCTGATGGTGCAGGACAAACACCACCTCCACTACCACACGGTGACAGCAGGAGTCACACATGTCAGAGACAAAGTTGTGGAGAACAATAAATCAGGGTTTGTTTACAAACCTCAGAACCTTGAGCATCCCATGGAGCATCATTAGGTCAATTATTGGGAATGAAAAAATGATCTCATCACAGCAAACTGGCCACGAGAGCCATCCACCAAAACTCACAGACTGGGTAAGAAGGGTATCCTGATGCATGCTCAATAATCAAGGTAGAAAAATCTAAAAAAGTTAAATCTGGTCCTCTGGACATTCAAAAAAACAAAACAAAGCAAAACAACAAAAAATGTAGAAACGTTTTGTCTCTCATCCAAGAGACTTCCTCAGTCTGAGGTGCTGTATTCAGCTCAGTCTCTTAAATAGCACCTTCGCAGAGTGGATCAACCAGTTTTGCTGCTGACAACCAAAACCAGCTGATCACAAGCTCAAGAAGGACCATCAGCCTAACAATGGATCATTAGCACACTGATGGCTGTTTACTATTCACAGAGGGCTGAGTGATACTAGCAATCACAGCATTGTAAGAGGGGGACAATTGAACACGTAGGCCTCCACCCCTGTTTAACGATGGACGATTTCTTTTCACAAAGATGGCCTCCTTTACTCCTCCCTCAAACCATCGTTCCTCTCTATCCAGGATGTGCACATCTTCACCCCTGAAAGAGTGACCGCTGGCCTGGAGATGAGTGTAGACCGTAGAGTCCTGGCCTGATGATGTTGATCTTCTGTGCTGGGCCATCCTTTGGGCCAGTGGCTGTTTTGTTTCCCCGATGTAAGACACAGCCCTCCTGACACTGAACAGCATACACAACATTACTCTGTTTGTGCCGGGGGACTGGATCTTTGGGATGAACCAGTCTTTGCCGTAATGTATTTTGGGGTTTAAAAGCCACTGGGACGTTATGTTTAGAAAATAAACGTCTCAGTTTCTCTGATACCCCCTCAACATACGGAATGACCACTGGTCTGGGTCTGGGTTCCTCCTTTTCACCTGATGGCTGACTGGATTCCTGTTTGGGTTTCTTCCCTGCTTTCAGGAAGGCCCAGTTAGGATATCCACATTGCTCTGGAGCCTGTCTTGTGTGGGATTTCTCCTTCTGCCTGGCTCCTGAGCTAGTGGGGATGCTGTCTGCTCTGTGATACAGAGTCCTGATGACTCCTAACTTGTGCGCCAAAGGGTGATGGGAGTCAAACTGCAAATACTGGTCTGTGTGGGTGGGTTTGCGGTACACCTCAGTTTGCAAATGTCCTCTATCAGAGACTGAGACCTCACAGTCCAAGAAAGCCAACCTGCCATTTTTTACATCTTCTCGTGTGAACTTGATGTATTTATCCACAGAGTTGATGTGGTCAGTAAAATGTTGGACTTCCTGAGATTTAATTTTAACCCAGGTGTCGTCAACATACCTGAACCAATGACTTGGTGGTGTCCCTGAAAAGGACGTCAAGGCTCTCTTTTCTACCTCCTCCATGTACAGGTTGGCAACAATAGGAGAAACTGGAGACCCCATAGCACACCCATGTTTCTGCCTATAATATTGCTCCCCATATGTGAAGTAGGTTGACTGCAGGCACAGCTTCAAGAGTTGACACAGTTGCTCCGTGGAAAGCGTGGTCCTGCTGCTCAGAGTGGTGTCTGATTTTAATTTTAAATTGACCACATCTACTGCATCATCAACAGGAATGCACGTAAAGAGTGATGTGACATCAAAAGAGAATTTTTTTTGAATGTCCGGAGGACCAGATTTAACTTTTTTAGATTTTTCTACCTGGATTATTGAGCATGCATCAGGATATGCATCAGGATATTTTGAACCACTTTGGCCAGGATTGCCTCAAACTAGTTAGAGAGTTTGAGAAAACAGCAAGGAAGAGGGCAGACTACAGGAACCATTTGCGATTCAACCTCAGATGTCGACAAAGTGGCATCATTCCCAAGAGCCTGGAACTAAAATCTTCGGTCAGCGGGCACCAGGCAAGCAAGATCCTTCAGAAGGCACAGACCCAGCTGCTGAATGAACGGGTGAGACAGACCAATTTACTATTGAGGCCTTGAAGGCCAAAGAAGAGCACATTAAACAGAAACTAACTATGTGTCTAGATCAGACCACACTTCAGCAAGTGTTGGACTGTACAGATCAGGCACGCTTAGCACAGCATGTCAAGTCCAAGACTCGACAACAAAACAAGTTTAACTTACTAATAACTCATCAACACCATCACTATTCCAATAACAACACATTCAGTGTAGGACAACACTTCAGTAGTCAATTACATGTCAGGGAGACAGAAAAGTGGGTGAAGAATTTATCAGACAGACAGCTCACCCAGCCGGAGACAGAGATTCTTGCCAGGGGACTGAACTTTGCGGTTGCACCAAGTAGAATTCCTCTGGTGGAGATGATCACAGCTACTGAGTCAGCCATCCGCAACAACAAAATTAAAGAGGCTGAAGCAGAAGAGCTCAGAATCAAAGTTTCATCCTGCCTCAGCAATGCCAAACTACCACCTTCCAACATCAGTAGAGAGGAGAGGGACGCACTCACCACTCTTAGCAAAGACAAAAACATCATCATTCTCCCAGCAGACAAAGGAAGTTGCACAGTGATTTTGAACCAGAAAGACTATCATGAGAAAGTTATGACACTCCTTAGTGACTTAAACACTTATGAACCTCTGAAAAGAGATCCAGGAAGTGGTTACAAGAAGAAATTGATAGATTGCCTGAAATTTTTGGAGCAGGACAAGGCTATTGACCGTTTTCTGTACCACAGACTGTACCCAGGGGAGGCCACACCTAGTCTGTATGGTTTACCTAAAATCCACAAACAAGGTGTACCTTTAAGACCAATCGTTAGCATGATTAACTCTGTCACTTACAATGTTTCCAAATATCTGGCGTCTGTACTCATCCCTTTAGTTGGCAGCTCAGAACACCACATACAGAACACCATGGACTTTGTGGATAAGGTGAGGGATGTCATCATGGAGACTGATGAAACAATGGTCTCTTTTGATGTCACATCACTCTTTACGTGCATTCCTGTTGATGATGCAGTAGAGGTGGTCAGTTTAAAATTAAAATCAGACACCACTCTGAGCAGCAGAACCACACTTTCCACAGTACAACTGTGTCAACTCTTGAAACTGTGCCTGCAGTCAACCTACTTCACATATGGGGAGCAATATTATAGGCAGAAACATGGGTGTGCTATGGGGTCTCCAGTTTCTCCTATTGTTGCCAACCTGTACATGGAGGAGGTAGAAAAGAGAGCCTTGACGTCCTTTTCAGGGACACCACCAAGTCATTGGTTCAGGTATGTTGACGACACCTGGGTTAAAATTAAATCTCAGGAAGTCCAACATTTTACTGACCACAACAACTCTGTGGATAAATACATCAAGTTCACACGAGAAGATGTAAAAAATGGCAGGTTGGCTTTCTTGGACTGTGAGGTCTCAGTCTCTGATAGAGGACATTTGCAAACCGAGGTGTACCGCAAACCCACCCACACAGACCAGTATTTGCAGTTTGACTCCCATCACCCTTTGGCGCACAAGTTAGGAGTCATCAGGACTCTGTATCACAGAGCAGACAGCATCCCCACTAGCTCAGGAGCCAGGCAGAAGGAGAAATCCCACACAAGACAGGCTCCAGAGCAATGTGGATATCCTAACTGGGCCTTCCTGAAAGCAGGGAAGAAACCCAAACAGGAATCCAGTCAGCCAACAGGTGAAAAGGAGGAACCCAGACCCAGACCAGTGGTCATTCCATATGTTGAGGGAGTATCAGAGAAACTGAGACGTTTTTTTTCTAAACATAACGTCCCAGTGGCTTTTAAACCCCAAAATACATTACGGCAAAGACTGGTTCATCCCAAAGATCCAGTCCCCCGGCACAAACAGAGTAATGTTGTGTATGCTGTTCAGTGTCAGGAGGGCTGTGATCAGTCTTACATCGGGGAAACAAAACAGCCACTGGCCAAAAGGATGGCCCAGCACAGAAGATCAACATCATCAGGCCAGGACTCTGCGGTCTACACTCATCTCCAGGCCAGCGGTCACTCTTTCAGGGATGAAGATGTGCACATCCTGGATAGAGAGGAACGATGGTTTGAGAGAGGAGTAAAGGAGGCCATCTTTGTGAAAAGAAATTGTCCATCGTTAAACAGGGGTGGAGGCCTACGTGTTCAATTGTCCCCCTCTTACAATGCTGTGATTGCTAGTATCACTCAGCCCTCTGTGAATAGTAAACAGCCATCAGTGTGCTAATGATCCATTGTTAGGCTGATGGTCCTTCTTGAGCATGTGATCAGCTGGTTTTGGTTGTCAGCAGCAAAACTGGTTGATCCACTCTGCGAAGGTGCTATTTAAGAGACTGAGCTGAAAACAGCACCTCAGACTGAGGAAGTCTCTTGGATGAGAGACGAAACGTTTCTACATTTTTTTGTTGTTTTGCTTTGTTTGTTTTTTTTGAATGTCCAGAGGACCAGATTTAACTTTTTTAGATGGGTAAGAAGGGAATTATTCAGAGAAACAACCAATAATAACCCTGATGTAGCTAGGTAGATCTTCTGTAGGGTTGGGCAGATCTGTTTAAAAATAACAATAATAATAATAAGCTGCACAGAGCTGGTCCTCATGGACGAGGGACAAAAAGGACTGACTGAAAAACAGAAGACTGTTTGAAGCTTGTGATCAAATGAAAATAAAGCTGAACTTTTTGTCCATCAAAGACATCATGTCTGCTTCAAACCCCCTCATCCTGCTGAGAAAACCATTACCACTGTAAAGCACAGTGACGGCAACATCATGCAGTTGGGGATGTTTTTGTGTTTATCAACAGTGACTGGGAAAATGGTCAGAGAAGAAACCTGTTGGAGTCTTCCAGAGTTGAGATATGGACAGAAGTTCATCTTGAGCCTGAACACACCGCTTAGGGAGCACTCATTGGTTTAAAGGAAAACCAGTCAAAGCTCAGACCTCAGTCCAGCTGAGAACCTCTGGTTTGATTTAAAGATTGTTGGAGACGAGCAGAACCCATCCAGCCTCGAAGCGCTGCGTGCTGCTTGGTCATGAAGAAAGGACAGAAACTCCAGTGGAACTCTCAGATTTTCTGTCTTCTTTTTATTTCTAGTGTGTTATACAATAAAAATATTTAGCATCCTAAAAAAGATAAATTGTTCAAATTAAAAAATACCCCCCACCCTAAAATTCCTGCTTAAGTTTCAAGTTGTACAGCAACAAAATAGAGCGACGAGGGGGTGAACACTTTGCAGCCACTGTACTTTTTAAAAGACACCTTTTTCTTTTCACACCTTCTGTTACATTGTGTTTAGTGCCATTTTCTAAAAGCATTCTTTTGTTTTCCTCAGTCTGGGTACCGCAAGTTAGAATCAAATCCAAAATGAAAAAATCTATAGTAGAGAATATATATATATTTTAATTAAATGCAATGGTGGGATGTAACTAAGTGCAAATACTTTGTTACTGTACTTAAGTACATTTTTCATGTATCTGTACTTTACTTAAGTAGAGTTAAATGTGGGTACTTTATACTTTTACTCCACTACATTTTACATCAAGTATCTGTACTTTCTACTAGACTACATTTCTATAATGCATTGCATTACAAGTTACATTCATGTTGCGGCTTTTTGTTTTGTTTGTTACTTTGAAAGTAACCAATGGTGAGAGGGGAGCTGGTCCAGTGAATCACTGCAAAGTGGGCAGGTAACGTTAGGCCCACCTTCAAGAAGAACTGGGCCAATGACATATATTCTAGTATATGTGTCAATGAGCTGGGTGCACCCGCAGCACCCCTATCACACCCAAAATGTATTCCACCACAAGAGTCAGCCAGAAGATATGCTCCACCCATGGCCTTATTGAAAGACTGCTCAGTACAACAGGACAGATTCTCTCTCCCAAAAGAGCCAGATTGAACTCAAAAATCTTTGAAAACCAACTTCTTCTGAACTTGAACAAGAAATTCTTGCTGCAATATTAAAATGTGTCAGTTCATGATGTTAGGAGACAAGAGATGTCTCCAAATGGCTCGACACTCAGGTCCAAGTTTTAAAAATGGTGTCAGAAAGTTAAAATATCGTTCACTATTGATCCATTACAAGGTCGACTAGACAGTATTTTAACTAGTGTTGATGACAAACTGGAGTTGAAATATCAGTGGAAATGATCAGAGCCTATTCCTTTGTTAGTTGTGTCTAATGCCCCTTTTGATCAGACAACTTTTACTTAAATGTGTTTACTGCAGTTAAAATGGCACATTGGGTTTGCTTTGTGTTAAATAAAAACTTTCAAAGGTATAATCATTCCTCTTTCTTATTTTGATTAATAGTATTTAACTCTGCATGTCATCCCTGAAATTCTGACGCACAGAATCACAAGTCCAAGTGTGAACTGTGTCACAGAGTAAACACAATAAAACATGTATTATCTGCAGCATTGTTCATTAAAATGGCTCAACACTATTAATGTATTACAGAAAATATACATGCGGTAGGTACACTTAAAGATATGTAGACCATTGCTTTATGTAATACATTCAGCAAGTACTTTTACTTTTAACACTTTAAGTATTTTAAAAGCAAGTACTTATTTACTTTTACTTAAGTAAAAATATTAATGTGGTACTTCTACTTTTACTAGAGTACATTTTTGTCTGTTTATTTGTACTTTTACTTAAGTACAGTGTTTGAGTACTTTCTCCACCACTGATTAAATGTTTGCATCAGATGTTTTCATAATGGTTTAACTTCATTAATGCTGAGGACCAAGAGGACTCAAGAGGTGAAGACCTCTGCTGGAGCCATGTACTCCAGGCCAGGATTCACTGAACCGGGCCAATCGCCGAGTTACCATGGCAACCTTACCCTGTTTTAACATGCAACACTTAAACCAGACGTGCAACATAATGACGCAGATCTGTCAAACGTCATGCACAAACTTCATGTTTTTAATCACTTCAGAAAATGTTGTGCTTGTGGTTTTTCATTATGTGCAGCTGATGAGAATAGATCATTAAAATGGAGTTGACTCTAAATCTACGGAGAGATGTTTAGTAACATGTTTGCAGAATGGTATGAACTAAAAGGCTACAGATGAACCAATTGATCACTAAAGTCAGGCATAAATGTAATAAAATAAAAGCTATTTAAAATCCATTTCACTTTTTAGGTCAGTTTAAAGGAAGAGTTTACATTTGTGGGAAATACACTTGTTCTGTAAAAACCAAACTCCACTCAAGATGTCAGAGCCTGTTTTCTTTGTGTTTCATTTGTTGCCTTTCTCTGACAATGAAACAGATGATTCATAAAGTGTCACTGTGAATTCAAAGACTAATTCTCTACACTGACTGTTAATGATGAACATGAAAACAGTCAAACCGTGGCAGTCACAGAAAGGAGTAGAGATTAATTTACTATCATCAGGAGGATATTAATAAAACCTAACAAAGACGGGGGTTCCAAACCAAACCCATTACTGATGAAACCTCCAGATGAGGATCTTTAGTAACTAATTGTGTTTTGATTCTTTCATCCTTCCTTCTTTTCTCCAAATGCACCAGATGTTGAATGATGATGTTTATGAGCTTTAAATGAGGCGGGCCAAGCATCACTATTTTGTCTGAACTCTGAAAATGAATCAAGTTATGGCAGCATTTAGCTTATGAGGTGTGGCTACATAAAAAAGTGAAGGCTGCAGGAACTTCCTGTTCACTGAAAAAGTTTATGTAATAAAACTTGTGTGAATTATAAATATTAATTATCGCCTGACACCAAAGGGCTAAAGGTGCTTCTCTGTCTAAAAACAAAATATTTTGTGAACCACTGGGTGGATTTTAGCGTCATTCTTTGAACATGATGATTGGATGTCCATCTAAAACTGAAATAATTTTGCTTTCATTATGATTCAAAATGGCTACCACATCTACTCAAACTTAGCAAACAGAAAATTGTCTATAACTTCATTAATTTGACAGATGTTCCGCTAATGATTGGTGTGGTAGTAGCTGAGTCACTCACAAATCAAACTAATCACACAATACCATTCTTTAGAAGTTTGGCATTGCCTACTGGTAACCCTGTGTTGTCTGTTAGCAAAATATCACCTGAATGACTGAACAGAATTTTATTAAACTCTCAAAAGTAATATTTGGATATACATCTATTACCTTTAGGAGTTAATCAAATTCAAGGTGGCCAACACAGCTTAATAACATACAAATAAGTCAATCACTTTTTATAAAAGTTGAGACAATATTTTATGTGGTACTAGCTGAGGGTGATTTTCAACAAATACTCTGAGCACTAAAAGATCTCTCAAGAGGTTTCAAACCTTGAGACAGGTATAGCCATTTTAGTAAATAATAATAATAAAAATGTTTATACCTGTCATTTGTCAATATAAAACAATCTTATTTTAAAACTGTGGCATGAATGAAGGTGGGTGATATGCATTTCCCAAAACTGTTCCTTTAATCGTCATCTTATTAAAAACCACTTTAACTCAAGTTGATTGTGTGTGGAGGGCTGTCGGGTTAGTTGATAAAAAACACGAACATGATGGCATGCAGAGTCAAGATGTCTGCTGAGTAAGATTAGTATTTATTACGACGATGTTCAGTCTGTCGAGACAGAAAGGTCTACAGGACGGACAAACAGGTAAACATAGAGTAAATGCAGTCACCTCAATGAAACTCCGGACGTGGGAATTGAATGTGATCTGCACCACAGAGACCACAGACACGGTGTGGGTGAAACAGAACACAAACACAATCAAAAACATAAACACAACAAACATCACACGAGACAGTGACACAAGTCCCAGGTCCACTCGTGTCCCAGCAAGTTTACAAAATTAATAAAAAAAAAAAAAAAAAAACTCAAGCTGAAAGCAACAAAACAAATAATCCAACAAAACGTAGGGGCACACAGAATGTTATTCACATGTTACTGGGGGAGGACGTGACATGCTGTGGACATGCCTCTACAGTGGTCATGCAGTTTTGCGATAATGCTTACCAGCTTGAGAGAAAGCTTCATGGGGGGGGGGAGAGAAATGTCACAGGAGAGAGAAAGAGACAACAGGCTAAAGTCAGCATCAGGAGAAAATCACAGCCTTTCGATTCTTTACAAAAACACTCTTGCTTCATTTAATAATCATGTTTTATTCATTATGTTCATCATGAGGACTGAAAACACTGCTCGGCCGCTAATACAGTGGTGAAGGTTAACATCCATAACTCAGTGGATTAATGGAATATGAGAGGTGAAAAAAGAAGCCAGCCTACTGCACAAGCATGGAGGACAGAGAAACACAAGAAGAAGTAGAGGGACAAGACTGCAGCGAGTAACAAAGGTCTGTACTTCTGACCAGCTCCTGCCAGCAATGACACACAGAGGACAGCAGAGTGTGCTAAACGCATGTCATAACATTAACAACACAGGCTGAAGAGACCATCCAAGTCTCAATTAAACACTCAGGAAGATACATCTAATTATTGTAGAGCTGAATAACAAATTAAAAGTCAGTCGGACTGAAGCAGAGAAAGAAGATGTAAACTGATGTTTATAACCCTCCCATTGTGTTCAATCAGATTGGTGGTGCTGGCTCCTCTGATTGAAGAAGTCCTTCGGATGAAGGACAAAATGTCTCAGCAAAAAAACAAACGGTCCAGATGACCTGACTGAACACTGTTGGATTATTACCTGGATTATGAACATGAACTTTGGTGGTTTTCTTTGAAAAACTGTTTCTTTTTACCTGGTTGATATGATTCTACGACACTGTCCACACAAAGCATGTGAACAAACAATCCAATAATAAATATTTTTCATTAAAATATAAAGTTTTGTATACATGTGGTGTTGCAACTTAAGTGAGAGATAAGGTTTAGAAAACAGACCTGCAAACAGAAGTACCGGTATTAGTTTTAGGGATGCACGATATTGAATTTTTGGCTGATATCCGATATGCCAATATGTTAAAACTTATTTGGCCGATAACCAATACCAATACCAATATTTTTTCCTTAGATCTACTTACAGAGACTACATAGCTTTCTCTGCTGTGGAATTAAAATACTACATTATTCTGCATGGTTTTTGTCAGTTTGGCCTGCTACCAAATGCAGATGCCAAAAAAGGGGCTGAAAATGATGAAACACTTCAACATGGATTATATTTGATGTCAAATTTATTCATGACATTTAATCTTTCTAACACAATGACAACACTTGAACAGTGCAAATCTGTAAATTTTCACAAATCTAAACTCAACGGTGCACATGACATCATAACGTTGTGCTTACGCTGCAGGCATCCTTGTCACTGGGTTGTCATACAAAAACAGCGCCTTATA